TATTGTGAAGATATGGTGTACCCTAGTTCTAAGTCAACACCCAGGGTCAATCCTAAAGCCAAGTAATCCTATAGGGACTCTTCTTGAATTCTCTTATAATGATCTTACCTACTAAATGCTAGAGGTTAAGATCAATATGTGGAATTTCAAGTTGAGTAAAAAGAAGAGTTTTGAATTTCTAATGGTGGGGGTACCTTTTCTAATTTTCTAAGACTAGTCAATAGGAAAGTCTTATGGCTAGACCTAGGCTACTAAAGAAGTTTTCTAGACATCAACCAAAAGTGAGGTCAACAGTATTATATTGATATCATGATAACATCATGATGGTATTGTGACAACATTATGATGGTATTACCGTGGTACTGTGATGATATTACGGTCGTAGTGTAATTTTATTTTGTAGTATTGTGGTGGTTATTTATTGGTATTGTGGTTTTAATTTGGTGGTATAGTGGTGGCATTGGCATAGATTGAAAATTGATGTTCTAAAAGTTAAACTTGTTTTAGAAAGATGAAGGTATTATGCTGGTATTTTGGTAATACATATGAAAATAATGTGTCTACCTTAAAACCTAATGAATCATATCTTTTTGTTTCTACCATGTATGAAACATTAAAGCATAGGGTATGTTTGAGATCACTTTATATATATATATATTAGTCTGTTTTATTTTCTTTTTGTTTTCTGTTTTGTGTTGCTAGAAAATAAGTTTGGTACTGTTTTGATTTACCTATTTTTAAAAACAAAAAAAAAACATAAAACATATTTGATTGAATATTTTCCTTTTTTTTTTAAGAAAAACTAATAATTTTCTAAATAATATCATCAGTTCTAACTATGTAACTAATTATATATATATATATATGTATATATATATGTATATATATATATATATATATATATATATATATATATATATAAATTGTCATAATGTTACAACAAAAATATCATGCTCGACATAGCTAACAAGGTTGTCTTTTAACAGAACATAAATCACTAAGGCTTCACACAAAACTAACACTTTATATGTCTGAAAACAAAGCAAATGATATTTTAACCAAAAATAAAATAAATATAACATATTGCAGAATAAAAATAAATAAAAACTTGTTTTTATGTCACGAAGTGGAAATAGAATGAGTCAGTGATCTAATTTTTAAAAAAACCCTCGCCTATCCGATTATCCTTTTCCTTTCCCACAAAAAAAAAAAAAAAAAAAAAAAAAAAAAAACTACCCACGAATTTTTTAAAAAACCTCGTCCCTTCTCCCCTGTGACCTGCACTTGATGCTCCCGGCGGTGTTGTCTCCCGTCGCCTGCTCCAACCACCCTTCTCACTCACGCGACATACCCATTTTCCGCCTGTTCCGGTCTCTCTCTCCGCTCCGCATCTTACGTGAATCCCGCCGGCCCGACGACACCTCCTTTCGCCGGAAGCCCGATCCTCGACGTATCGGTCCTACAACCGACCTTAGTTGCCTGGACCTCCTCCGCGTCGTATCCCTTCAGTCGAACTGCTCACCTGCCCTAGCTCTGTCAGTGAGAAGCTTCGTCCCCACCGATTCCCCTCTCGCGATCGAGTCCTCCCTCACCGACACTCTCTCTCGCTAAAGCCGCGCCCTAATATCACGAGGGAGACGTGAAAATATATTTTTACAGTTTTTAATTTTTAAAAATAGACATGTTTACTTGAAAAATAAAAAATATATATTTATGCAAACATTTTTTTTATGTTTTTTTCAATCTTTTTTATTTTAAAAAATAAAGAATAGAAAAATAAAAATTGATCCCAAATAGCCTCTTATAATATTGAAATAGCATTGATACAAACTATAAAAGAAATGCTAGAAATAGTTTAAACATGAAACTTCTATTGATTCAGACAATAAAAGACTAAATAATACAAAGCACTGTTATACATGAACTCTGGAACGTGAAGATGGAATGAAAAAGAAAGTCGTGGAGATTGAAGATGGTGGTAACTGGAGGCGAAATAAAAAAAATCCTAAATTCATAAAATATAAATAAAAAAAGACGGTCATATGAGGTTTTAAATGGTCTTTTGATTTGCTAATTTTGAGCCGGATTCACTGACCATAGAAATTTGAAAAAAAAAAAACTTTTTAAATATTTTTTTTATTTTTTTTTATTTTATAAGTTTAGTCCAATTATAAAAATCAGTGGCCATTACTTAAAACTATATTTTCTCCTTTAAAAGGAGAAAATTTTGCTTACGTAAGATAGGGAGGGTATTGGGAATTATAGGGAGGATATGTCAGATAGGTTACAGGGAGGGTATTGAGAATTATATCTGTATTATACCCATGTAACTTCCCTGTAACCTACCTATAACTTATAAATAAATAAATAAATTAATAAATAAATAAATAAATATATATATATATATATTAATATTACAAGGGTATAACGTCAATATAACCTTCACTGTTATGGAAAAATATTACATCATGACTCATAACGTAGAATTACGTTTGGAGGTGACAGAAAAATAAAATAAAAAATCATTTTAGCGCTAAGGAATATTCATTTCATATTATTGTACCATATTTAGCTGTTATTGTGGTGATATTCATGTGTTATTTTGTTCTAAGAATATTCTAACTATTATAATAACACAATAATATATTAATATTATCACAAAAACGCTTAATAACAAAAAAGAAATATTCTACTGCATGACAATCGTTTTCTCGAAACCAACAGCACGTGAGCCACTCATGTAATATTGTTCCCCTAAAATTTTTCCATCCGATCGCTTTCGCTAGTGCGTCTGTTGAACCGACAATGCTGGCGTTGGTTATCGGCTCTCTCTCCGTCGCCGTGATCGGAGCCTTTCTGGTGAAGTTCGCAACGGCAGATGGTTATGTTTCGAAACAGTAATCTTTTTCTTTTTTTTCTTCACTGCAAATTCCCGCAGTTGTTTGATGATGTTTTATGTGCAGGGGATTTTACTTTGCTATCCAAGGGTCGAGCGAAGCGCGAGCTTGTGGAAGGCAAGGTGTGATCGTTTACTCGAATCTGGTTTTTCCATTTGATCTCCCAGTTTGATTTCTGCTGTAAATGCTGAATTTTTCTGTGTAAATGGCTAGGTCGTCTGGATTACTGGCGCAAGCCGTGGAATTGGTGAGTGAATTCCATCCCATATGTATGAATGTTTGTGCGTGTATATCTATATGTATATATATATGTGCATATTTGAAGAAAACCACCTGGAAGTGTAGTTTTCAGTTTGTAGTATTCCTTGAAGTAATTCTTGAACTAAGGGCTCGTTTGGGGCAGCTTGTAAGTGCGGGCGGCGTTTTGAAAATGTCTCCTCACTGTTTGGTTCCCACTTATTGAGAGATTATTGGAAAATGAGTTACGATTCCGATTTACCTATTAACCCTCGATCCCTACTTTGCTCCCGTGACCTTGCCTCTTTTTCCTTCGCCTCTTGCTCCCGTGACCCTAGCCGTTCGACGCCGCTCTTCGGCTCTCGCTCCCGTGACCTCCGTTCGAAGTCGAATCCAGCAAAGCTTCGCCTCTCGCTCCCGTCACAAAGCCGTTCCACGCCGGATCCAGCAAGGCTTCGCCGCTCGCTCCCGTCACCAAGCCGTTCGACGCCGGATCCAGCAAGGCTTCGCCGCTCGCTCCCGTAACCTAGCCGTTCGACGCCGGATCCAACAAAACTTTGTCTCTCGCTCCCGTGACAGCCATTCAACGCAGTATTCAGCAGCAGATAATCCATCGCCGGAGTCCAACAGCGGGGAACCATCTACGGATCTGGTTCTTTCTCGAAGTGGTTCTTCGGGCTTCACTCCACCTTCTTCGATTTTTCTCTAGCCTTCTTCGGTTTTCCTTGCTACAGGTATATCTTCTTTGTTTTCCTTGCAATTTCACTTTTACAGTGACTTGAGTTATTTTAACTGATTTGGAACTGATTTGGAAAGAATTAATTTGGAAAGAATTGTTGTGGTTGCTACATTTCTTGCTGAGTTGATTTTGTACAGACTGCATCACCTGCTAGATTGTTTTAATTTTATGCAATACTGTTGACCTCACTTTTGGTTGAGGTCTAGAAATTTCTTTAGTAGCCTAGGTCTAGCCATAGGACTTTCCTACTAACTAGTCTTAGAAAACTAGAAAAGGTACCAATTAATTTGATGAGTGATAACCTCTTGTCTTCAGGAACATTTTTTTTTTTTGCATTGTAATTGTGAGAATAATATAAATGCGACGAGAATATCAATTATAGGAATATGCTTCCACTATTAGAAGTTCGGATTTATAATTTTTTTTGGGTATATGGGAATCTGCTATAAGCAAATGCATGTTTTTTTATTTTGAAATTTTTAGATGGTAGATATAAAAATTGTTCTTTTGTTTTGTGATTTTTTTGTCATGAAAAAAACATTGTGTTTATCCGTTAATCTGACAAAACTCAATGAGTAAAGCTAAATAGACTGGAACAATCAGTCATGTGGGATAGAAAAATAACTACCATAGTTTGTGATTTATGTGTGAGGGAGGTTGAGGTGGGAAATAGAACCACTACATTTTTTACAAAGAAGGCTGGCGAAATATCTTGGTTAAATTCAAAGAAATGACTGGAAGATATTATGATCGCATGAAAATGAAGAACAAATGAGACCAGTTAAAGAAGGATTGGAAACTATAAAAAGAACTGAAAAGGGGATCAACGGGAATGGGTTGGGATCCAATTAAGCGCACAATAGATGCACCAGAGGAATAGTGGGTTGAGAAATTACAGGTGCATAAATAACTCTTTTTATTTTATGTTTAATCTAATTTCACATTGAGTTGACACTATTTTATTAATGCAAATTCGTTGACATTGATCCAGTAATGGAGAAAAAACTAGATGAAATGTTCACTGGGGTTGTCGCTACAAGAACTCATGTGTTCACCCTAAATGATATAGGGTTTGACAGCTCAGCCCAAGAGATGGATACCGTGAAGGTAGGTGATTCAGGAGACCGTCCTAGCCATGTTCACACAGATGTTCAATCCACTAGTGTGCCTAAACGTCCCAGAGTAGAAAATAAGAACAAAGGGGTTGCTTTCATTAAAGACACTATTGATCCACTTGTTGAAACATGCAAAACTCGGTCTTATTCATCGCAGGACAGCTCAATTGAAGAGTATCTTCAGGTCTTCAATATATATTTTGATGTTAAGGCAGACGATGATGACTACATTCAATACGTGAAGGTGTTACGAGATCCAACCATCAGACAATTTTTTATAAAGTTGGAACCGAAATACCGAGTGAAATACTTGCAAACTTTTATGGACGACTGAATATCTGAGTTATTATGTACTTTAATTTCTATTGTTCTATGTTATGTTTATGTGATACACACTTTTTTTATCTCCTTCGTAGATATTTTAGATAGTTCACATTTTTATATGGTTGTTGTTTCTGTGATGATCAATTTTATTATATATTTTTTTTGTTTTGCCCAAATTTCATGTGTTCTATTCATCTTTCAGAGCATACTTTTGTTCTTATTATTAAAGTTAATTCATTTTCATTTTAATAATTTTGTAGTATGGATGAAGAAAAAATCAACCACATACGCACAGTCGTATTTACCCTTACCTTATTGTATTATTACTATCTTAAACACGTTGACCGAAACCCATGTATGACTTCAACTCAAGTAGGAGACAGATGGGTTGGTGGGTTGGTGAGTTATTACGGGGGGGGTCATCTAACACGGTTCTTTAATATGTTCCGTTTGACACAAGAAATATTTCATGATCTGCTAAATGAACTCTAGATCCATCATGGGTTACACGACTCTGCATGAACAACCCCAAGGGAAGTGCTTGCAATAACTATATACATCTTATCTCAAAATGAGTTAATAAGAGGGGCTATGGAGCGTTTTCAACATTCATCTGAAACCATCAGCCGATATTTCTCAGTCGGTTTGAATTCTCTTGTGAGTTTGGCCCAGAAGTTAGTGAAACCCGAAGATCCAACGTTTCATTCAATTTCTTCACAAATTGCAAATGACCCTCGATACATGTCATTTTTTAAGGTCTGTCTTTTACCATATGGCCATGACAAAAGTAAAGCCCTATCCATATACGAAATATCTTGTAGCTGGACATGGTACTTCGTATCTGGATAGGGCTTTAGATATCTCATTTGTAATAGATATCCAACATCAACCAAATAATATTTACCCAGAGGTGGGTACGGAAATCCATGTCTCAAGTTTATGGTAGCGAACTTGAAAACACGACTATCGTGGGCGCTTCCTTCCCATCTAGCCATGATAAAAGTAAAACACATATTAAAATCACATACAACAATAACATTTTGTGTTGGGGCGCCGCATCGGCCGATGTACGCAACTTTTTCTTCACTGGATAGTCGTGCATCGACGTGTGTCCCGTCAATAGCTCTAATACAATCTTGGAGTTACAACTAAAAAGTTTTTTAAATTGTAATGTAATAAAAGTAGAAAGATAAATGTAATGGTAAAAGACAAATCTTAAAAAATGAAAAAAATGTTAAAAAATGACATGTATCGAGGGTCATTTGCAATTTGTGAAGGAATTGAATGGAACGTTGGATCCTCGGGCTTCATTACCTTTTGGGCCAAACTCACAAGAGAATTCAAATCGACTGAGAAATATCGGCTGATGGTTTCAGATGAATGTTGAAAACGCTCCATAGCCCCTCTTATTGATTTATTTTGAGATAAGATGTATAGCGTTATTGCAAGCACTTCTTTTGGGGTTGTTCATGCAGAGCCGTGTAACCCATGATGGATCCGGAGTTAATTTAGCAGATCATGAAATATTTCTTGTGTCAAACGGAACATATTAAAGAACTGTGTTGGATGGCCCCATAATAAATCACCAACTCATTTGTCTCCTATTTGAGTTGAAGTCATACATGGGTTTTGGTCAACGTGTTTAAGATAGTAATAATACAATAAGATAAGGGTAAATGCGACTGTGCGTATGTGATTGATTTCTTCTTCATTCATACTACAAAATTATTAAAAAGAAAATAAATTAACTTTAATAATAAGAACAAAAGTATGCTATGAAAGATGAATAGAACACATGAACTTTGGGTAAAATAAAAAAAAATAATAATAAAATTGATCATCACAGAAACAACAATCACATAAAAATGTGAACTGTCTAAAATATCCACGAAGGAGATAAAAAAGTGTGCATCACATAAACATAACATAGAACAATAGAAATTAAAGTACATAATAACTCAGATATTCAGTCGTCCATAAAAGTTCGTAAGTATTTCACTCGGTATTTCGGTTCCAACTTCATAAAAAACTGTCCGATGGTTGGATCTCGTAATACCTTCACGTATTGAATGTAGTCATCATCGTCTGCCTTAACATCAGAATATGTATTGAGGACCTGAAGACACTCATCAATTGAGCTGTCCTGCGATGAATAAGACCGAGTTTTGCATGTTTCAACAAGTGGATCAATAATACATTTAATGAAAGCAACCCCTTTGCTCTTCTTTTCTGCTCTGGGACGTTTAGGCACACTAGTGGATTGAACATCTGTGTGAACATGGCTAGGACGGTCTCCTGAATCACCTATCTGCACGGTATCCATCTCTTGGGCTAAGCTGCCAAATCCTATATCATTTAGGGTGAACACATGAGTTCTTGTAGCGACAACCCCAGTGAACATTTCATCTAGTTTTTCCTCCATTACTGGATCAATGTCAACGAATTTAAATTTTTTTGCTGTGCTGACGGCACTGCCTAGATAACAAATTTGCATTAATAAAATAGTGTCAACTCAATGCAAAATTAGATTAAACATAAAATAAAAAGAGTTATTTATGCACCTGTAATTTCTCAACCCACAATTCCTCTGGTGCATCTATTGTGCGCTTAACTGGATCCTAACCCATTCCCGTTGATCCCCTTTTCAGTTCTTTCCATAGTTTCCAATCCTTCTTTAACTGGTCTCATTTGTTCTTCATTTTCATGCGATCATAATCTCTTCAAGTCATTTCTTTGAATTTAACCAAGATATTTCGCCACCCTTCTTTGTTAAAAAATATAGTGGTTCTATTTCCCACCTCAACCTCCCTCACACATAAATCACAAAATATGATAGTTATTTCTCTATCCCACATGACTGATGTTCCAACCTATTT